GATAAGGCGCCATCATCTCAAGACTTTGTTCGAGAAACACCTGCTGTGCTTCATCGATGTGGATGCTGAGATCCGAAATTTCCTGAATGTCAGATATATCCGCACTTCTCTCAAGTGCTGCATCGTCGCCGCCGTGTTCATTTTCTTCAGTTGAATTTCCTTCGTCAACCGGTGATTCAGTGAATAGTTGGGAATCATCAGCGTCGCCTGCTTCTTCATCAATGATATCGCCAAGATTGAGGGCCATGATGTCGCTAGTGCGACCGTCGTCGCCTGCTAGAAGTTAAGCTCAAGCACTGGAACGAGCGCCTATGCGATGTCAGATATAATTCAAAGCTCGTGGCGCTTGTAGCAATTGAAACGAAAGCCTGTATTCACTCCCCGTTGCGAGTCTTCAGCGTTTGGCCTTATCTGAATAATTATCAAATATTATATCGCCGGATGGCAATGAGCAAAAAAATCATTTCGAAAACAAGATTCTTTCGACAATTGGGCATGAAATTAGAAAGCGTGCAAACATAATGCATTGTCTGCTTCTCATCAGCCAAGTCAGATTGGCGAAGTATCGTCAGTGAGACACGGGATCATATGTATTTGCCGAGTGGCAAGCGTGGGGTAAATTCCGAAATATTTGCGGGCTCGGGAGCTAACGGCAAGATGCTTCATCTATTACTCCCGAGCACATCGTCAGATCATGGGAGTAGCCCAGATCATGCATCAGGAGTCTTGAGCCCAAACCATGTTAGGAACTGTCAATGCAGAAGCACGAGTCTCAGGCTTTGGCCCGTTGTGTCATATCAGTCAACGTGAAAAATGTGAATTGATTTTAAAATGACGAAACGTGTGATCGATCAATTGGCCGTAGCAGCATTTCAAACGTTACTCTTGTATAATCCTGAATGATGAAGCTGAATGATGAAAGACTCCGAATGCCCCTGCATGAAAGGTCCAAGTTTGAGAAGAAAGCGTACATATGAATAAAAATGCCGTGGTGAAGAAGGTGTATCGAAGGCCCACATTAACGAAACATCGACGTGAGCGTGGAAAGATGAGGTATTGATGACCCAATCACGGGTACTGCAGGCCTGAAGAGCGTTCGAAAGCTAACTTGATTCTGCTTTTTGGAACAGCGGTGAGAAGCATCATCAATCGAGTTTCCTGATTGTGACGCATGTATCGGCACTCCCAACGGTATCCTCTAAGCAGATATCCCAACTGTCCGAGACCTGCGACAGGAGAGGAAGGACCCATTGACTCAACAATTTCAAGTGACGTTCCCGGTCAAATGCAGAAGTGAACGGAAACGGATAAACACAATTGACCAACGAAAGATGACGGAGATGAGGGACCTTGAGAGCTTTGAAGAGGTTTTCTACGGCAGCGGTATCGAGTCGAACGAGAGTGAAACTGTGAAGGTCCGGCAACGCAACGCGATCTTTCGTGAAGTGATAGTTTTGTGGTGTTGAAAGATTATACAAGGATAGATGTGTGAGGACGTGGAATTGAGAGGCTTTTTGAACCAATTGCATCTGGCAGTGGAACTCGGTATGTGTCTGTGCCTGGGCGAATACGAGCGCGATCGTCCGTGTGTTCGGGCCAAACGTCGAGCATAGGTTTAGACGTGACTGCATGTGCGAGATGCCAAGGTCTCGAGGATCCTCATGGGTCTCTGCTTCTAAACCGGACTCATCGCTCTGATGGAGTCGGATATCCACTAAACTGTTCGCAATTATTTCTTTCGTCACGAGCTCTTGGAGAAGGGAAGTCCCGTGGAAAGGAAAGGACATCGTCAGGCTTCGAGCTACGCGTAGTGCATCAAAGTCGCGTTGCCTCGAAGAGCGTAACTCAGCAAGAGGAAGAGGACCGAGCGGCGGATTCGAGAGGTGAATATTGAGAGGTAAGGTGCCTCGTCGATGAAGGATGTCTTTCTTGAGTTCGGGAGGGAAATCTGAATCGAAAGAGGTCCAGAATGTAGATTGCGAGATGGCAACGTTACGCCATCGTCGACATCTATGTTGTCAAGGTGGGATGAGTTGATGCGAAGGCAGAGAAAGCAGGAGCGCGTACACCCCCATGATCAGAAGCCACTTTAATCGACCACATGCGGTATCGTGTCGTACTTCTGCGAGAATGAGGGCGAGTACTTCATCGGGAGATCTACCAATGTAACAGTTCGGATGCGCCAAAAGTGGAGGCATATCTGTGTCCCAGAGGAAAATTGACGACTTCAGATACACTCCGTGGTATAAGAAAGCTAGAATCAAAACTAGAGCGAGAGCGAGAGCACCGTTGGCCTTGGTTCTGATACGGGAATGACGTGTAACTTGTCCGAGAAAGAGAAGTGTCGGTGTTTCCCGATGTCAAGATGTCGCGCTTCAAACCTTAAGCTTGAGCCCTGAGGCCTGAGGCTTGAAGCCTAAGAGCTACCAGAAGTCGCGTGGATTTGTTCTCATCTATAGGCACGGGGGAGTACCCTGGCATGCCGTTCATTGTGTGTCAATTATGAATGATCAATCGCGGGACATCCTCATCATTGAGTGACAAAAATACGTTTAAATCAATACTGGTAGTAAATTGAAATCTCATGTGGTAGGCGAGTAGGAGTTGAGTCTACTGTAGTGCAGCAACACATCATTAAATGTTGAATACGAGGGTCATTGACCTCGGACCATGACTTGTCTAGAGCGCTATGATTAGAGTATTTCAAATCATAGGGTATCAGAGACTCACATTGCTGCGAAGGTACGCTGTCACCCAGGCTCGCCCTCCACATCATCATCCGCGTTTGTGCGTTTGCATTTGGCGAACTGGTCGGAGAACGACCAATGTCCGTGTCTGGACTTCGCTGAAGACTCATCTGGACGTCGCCTGATCAGAGGCGAAGGCCCTCAACAGCTTGATAAAGAAGCACAGTGCAATCGATCGATCGTTTGTTGAGTTGCGGAGGGAGATAATTTGCGGTCATTGCGCATCACGGGAAGATACGACCGCGAAATACTCCTCGCCCGGACCAACCTAGCGAAGGTATCATATCGTGAACTAGGGATGGGGCAATCAACACTACATATGAATGGTGTGAAGAGAGAAAATACTTACGAGGTTGGCGTTCGTCGACAGGGATCCGCACACCGTGCTCGAGTTGACGTATCGTACAACATACTTTGTCACAAGAAAAATAGCACGACCCCCGCCGCGTAGTGGGGCAATGCGCGCTCCGAAGAGCTGCTAGCGGCCAAAGAAGGGCTATAACGAGGCTCGGTCCATCACAAGTTCGCTGACGGCCTTCGCAGTACCAGGTGCATTGCATATCCCCTAAGGACGCATGAGTGACATTAATATGCGCAAAAAATATGAGCCTACCCAACAAGTGTGTCCAGCTGCAATGACTAAACCTTTACTTCCCTTCACCGAGCCGATGCTGATGATCAATTCATCATCGACGAGAGAAAGGAAGGAGCAGCTTGGGTGATCTGAGATACGCCACGGCGAAGGTCAGGCAAAGGGAAGGATGAAGAAAGCACAAGACTCACATCGAAGAACATTGTCAATCACTCCAGGAGCGATTCCAAGACCAGGAGGGAATCCGTGTCGGTCGGTGACACATACCTTACAACAATTCGTAACAGCACGACCCTCGCCGCGTAGTGGGGGAATGCGCGGAGCCCGTCCACAACAGTAACCCTGTTGCCGTGTATATTAACAGACGCACCCTGCCAGGTCCGCGGGAAAGAGTGGCAGAACAGGAGATCATTGTCCAGAGGAGCTTTGACCGTAGTGGAATGGTGGGAGAGAAAGAGGATGAAGACCAAGTTCCAATAGTGCGCCGTGATTTTGTAGACATTTCCTTCGGAGTTCAAGGCGTGGAATGAAACCAGGATGTCTCGGAATTTTCTGCGCAAGACAAGAGGTGGCTGACACCGATGTGGTTGATACTGTAGCGACTCTGCGCTACCGAAGAAAAGCTCAAGACCATTCGAATGCAAAGTTTCCGGCTAGAAAGGTTGACAGAATATTCAATTTGTTGCTTAGACGAAGCAGAGCCCTTTGAAACGACAACAAAGAGGACGAGATGCTGCACCGGGCGACGAGAGCATGCTGAGCGCTCAAAATTCAAACTCAGACGCCAGACTGCTTCAGTGCTGCTTCATCGTCGTCAACGCTCATCTAGAGTCGGCCGTAATTGTCTGGGACCCCTTCCTTGTGCTTGTGATGGTGACGTCTCTTTCTGGCAACGTCTGATGCAGAGCGATGTAACTAAACATTCAATCCACGCTCGAACTCCGAACGAAATGTCTACAAAAGAATGGCCCACTGTGTGAACTTATTCTCTATTCTCTTCTTCTCCCACCATTCCACTGCGGTCAAAGCTCCTCTGGACATTGATCTCTTATTCTGCCACCCTCGTCCGCGGACCTGGTTCTCCAATGGATGCGTCTGCTTAAAACACGGCAACGGGTATACCGTTGTGGACGGACTCCGCGCATCCCCCACTACGCGGCGAGGGTCGTGCTGGTACGAATTGTGATAAGGTAAGTACGGCGATAACTGGCAAACCCATCTGTCCCTGTAAACCCTGGTATGCCCTCCGACTCATCTGCATATTATCACTCATTGACAACGTCTCTCTCCAGGTCGCCGGCTCGAGCATTCGGCACTGCTGTCCCTCGTCCCGTTCCCTGAGCTTGAGGCCTTCTGCTAGCACGACAGAAGCAGAAATCAAATGCTCTCTCAATTATGATGACCTGCATGTCAACATGATGCCCTGCATGTCAACATGATGCCCATAATTATCATATTCGCATGACAGGAGGAAGAGCAGGATTTCTGCCTCGTTCGTGCTCAACAGTGTATGCAGTCTACATGTATAGTACCGATAAGACACAAAAACAGTATGGGGAGTGATAGATACAAAAATAGCACGTAAGAGTAATATCCTCCTCGTCGGTGTCAAAACAGACAGTGAAACAAGTAGGAACTTTCTCTGCTGCGCTCAAGCAAAAGGGCCTGGCCGGGAATTGAACCCGGGACCTCCTCGATATTGTACATCTACACACGACTGCCCTAACAAGGAATCATACTACTAGACCACCAGGCCAGCTATTTGGCGCTTAGTATGACTTAGCATGAACTTTGGGCGTCCCTATCGGATCCACCACGTCTACTTTTTGTATTCGGTAGATTAATTATTAAAAGCAATATTTCACATAGGACACACGGAGTAAACTGATAATAGGTAACAGCTAGTAGTCAATCAAACGATGCAAGGTGCAGCACAGCAAGTTATAGTCAAAGTCACGCAAATATAAGAAACGACAAAACGGTCGACCTGTCCTCATGATCGGTCCGCACCACCCTCCACACCAGCTGCGCCAGGCATGCCTTCGTTGATGCTCATCCCTCCAACTCCGTTGACCAAGATTGCGCTGGCGACGGACTCGGATCTGACCCTCTCCAATTCCCTCTGTACGCTTTCCCTTGCATTCTCGGCAATCTTCTCGTTGGCACCGGCTCGCCCAACTCCATTTGTATAAGAGTGAGCATGATGTTGATGCTGCGGGTGCGCTGGTGGACCAGGATGCGGTTGCGATGGCGATTGGACACTCGAGCTCGCGTTCGCATTCGGGTTCACCGTACGTTGCTGAACGTGCACCTGCTGGTTGATGCTTTGGTTGGATCCATTGTTCCCTGCCTTGGGATTGTATAATCCCGTTCCTCCCTTCGGAGGCGGTCTTTCGAATCTTGCATCGTATTCATCAAGACGCGTTGGTCGGCCTTGGAAAGGCGCGGCTTGAGGCTGTTGTTGATGCTGGTGATATTGATGCTGGTGGGGAGGCGGCGGAGGCGGAGGCGCGTGAGCATGGGGAGACGGATGCGAGGGATGCCCATAACCTTGCGTCTGAAGTGGCACAGGCGGCGGCGGATGACTCAAGTAACCCTGCGGTCCTGCATTTGGATTTCCGTTCATGAGCTGATGGTCAGGAGGAGGCGGATAGTGTTGAGGTTGATATTGAGGGTGCTGTAGATGAGGAGGCGGTAGAGGACCGGGAGGATGTTGACCATACGGATGATGATTTGGAGGTAGAGGCGGGGCATTTCCCATCGTCAAAACAGCTCTCGTGGAGTCTTGGTTGTTCCACACATTGCTTGCAGTAGGAAGACGCTTCTCTGCGTTCAATGGACCGTTGTTTCCGTGACCGTTGGCATTGACATTATGTATCGTCAAAGGCGGGAAGTCACCTGGCTGCAGCGACATAGGCGAAAGTTGCTGATTGGGGGTCCTCCTTGGCGAATGTCGCGCAAGGCCCGGTAGTGAACCGTTCTGAGGTCGATGCGAAGACGGTTTCATCCCGACTGCCCAATCAGGTCGGGCAGGGAGCGGGTGCTTTGACGTAGTGGAAGAAGAAGCGATAGTCTGCCTTGAGCTCGACGAACTGGAAGTTGACTGCGACAGTGCACCGACGGACGATGAAGATGACGAAGGAGACACCATAGGCGAAAACACAGAATGGTAATGAGAGGGAGAAGCAGTCTTCATGATCAACATTATATCTTCACAATCGAAGAGTAGATAAACTCACTGCGACAGAAGCCGCCTCATCTCCCGGAGTTCTCTGCCCTCCATGATTATGCCCAGAATTCGATTGGTGTTGGAACGGCGGTGCACCACCCCTTCGACTCATCCTTGGTCCCATGGCATCGCTATGCCCATTCAAAGCTGGAAACCCGCCCAGACTCGCTCCGGGCCCATAACTCCAGGATGTCCGCTGATTTTGACTTCCTCTACGCCCGTTAGGTCCAGGACCAGGTCTATTATTTGGATTTTGAGGTTCATGATGAGCTTGCATATCATGCGTGTTATGATGCGTCTCGTAGACATCTAGCGTGGGAGGCGGTTGTGGAGGAGGGTATTCAGGAGGCGCATATTGGGTGGTGTGATAATATCCAGATGAATACATAGGATAGGAAGCGCCATATCCTCCTGGCGACTGTGCAAATGAACCGCCGTGGGAGGAGTCTCCTCCCATGATGTGGTGCTGCCGTTGTTGTTCATGATGAGCTTGAACTGGCTGGTGAGGAGGCGGAGGTGGCGGCGGCCACATGTATGGCACATATCCTGTAGGCGGCGGCGCATATCCTTCGTACGGTGTGGGCGGTCCCGTGTTCATGTTCGGACTTGGCTCGTGCGGTTGTGACTGTTGTAAAGGGGGATTGGCAGGAGGTGGATATGGGTACGGATAGTAATACGAGGAGGTCTGAGGATAAGAATAGACGGGATAAACAGTGCCGTACGGATTTTGTGGCGGGGGTGGTGGAGGTGGAGGAGGAGCGGATCCCGCAGGAGGAGGCAACGGCGGTGGAACCATTGAATCGGTATTGGGATCATATAGCGTTGGATAATTGAAACCGTCGCCGTATTCATCAGATCCCAGGGGAGAGTACGATTGGATAGCATGCCCCTGCCCCAGGCGTGTGTTCCTAGACGCATCTCTGACGTGATCTCGATGCTGAGATCCTTTTTTCCCAGTCATTCGTTCTCGGTTTTGAGGGCGATGATGATGCTTCACGGCAGGGGCCGACCATTCGCTCTCAGTAGGAGCCGTACTGCCACTATCGTCAACGTCACCCACGCTACTCCCACCACCTCCACTCGACACGATTGAAAGGTTTGAGGAACTGGCGCTCGCACTGGCTGGCTGGCTTCCGCTCGTCGCAGTAACAGACGCCCGCTCCTTCTCCTTGAAATCCATGAAGATCCGAGATCGAGCCTCCTTATAAGCAGCTTCGCGTTCCGAGATAGTCATATGCTTCTTAGGTTTACTTCCGCTTCTCGACGAACCGGCCTCAGACAGTTCGACGTCGGAGGAAGGATCGGCAGTCGTGCCAGGAGCGCTGTTGGTATTATTATCATCTCCGCCTGTTGCGGATGATGCCCCAGAGCCTCTATTACGATACTTTTCTTGGTTGATGCGACGCATGATCTGGAAGGCTGGGGGCGGGGCGACTTCTGCTGGTACGAGATCGGCGACTCGACGAAGGGGACTATAAGAACGGGAAACGCAAATGCGCCGCAGTTAGACATGCTACCGCGTGAGGAGACTGGATATGACATACATCCTACTTTCCGCAGAAATAGATACCGAAATAATCTTTGTAGGGGGCTCAGTCTCGGCAGTGAGCTTATAATACGCAGCGCATCGATGGACAAGCAGTCGTTGGTAAGTGCTTGGCGCGGTCAACTCTATTTTTGTCTTTGGACTGTGAGATTCGTTAATGTCTCGAGAATGTGAAGGAGAGCGGAAGAGTGACGTACTTCCGTTCATTTATTAAACTCTCCATTTTATCACCGACCATGAGCACGAACATGCGATCTTTCGGGGTCCTGAGTGCCTCGACGATGGAGTCGTCGACCGCAGTATCTTCATCATTGGCCTGCGCCTGGATCTCAACCGCAGATGTAGCTGAAGCTGGAGCGGTCGTAAGCTCGCCCTCGACATCACCACCTGGGCTCGCGCTCGTGCTCGTGCTCGTGGAGCCACCTTGCACGACTTCCGATGCCATAGTAGCAGTCTCCGGACGAGGAGACGACGGTGATGAAGGAAGAGGAGGGGAAGGCGGCGCGATAGCGATGGTAGTAGAAATCTCTTCGCTTTCAGCTCCTCGCGTCTCCCTCATTCCATCGACAGCGACCGCTTGAGCCGCGGCATCACTATGACTATTAGTATTCTGGCTCTCGTCCACAAGAGAGTGGGAGTCTTTGACGGGGTTGGATGAAGGTGATATGGATGGCAATGAGAGAGATTTCTGCGGTACTGGCATCGATATCGTGGGCTCTATGCGTTGCGGTGTGAGGCGAAAATTATGGGCTGGGGGCGGTCGTTGTCAGTGAATGCTGGATGATGAAGTTCTCGTCGATATGTGTGATAGGTTCCCTTATCGTCTCGAAGGAATGCTATCGAGGCTGCATTTGGTCCACAGACGATTGTATGGAGATTTGGCAAAAGGGAAGGAGGGGTAAGACGCACAACCCGCACTTTGCCTTTCAGTTACGAAAGACGCCTCGCCTATTACAATCACGCATGTACACTTTTCGGACTCAGCCTTACCTTTATTACGGTTCCGGGTAAGCGCTAACTAAATGCTGGATGCGATCCAATTTTTTGTGAACATCCGGATTGTGCCTATGTACATCTAACGTGTAATATGCTCTGGATATTTATCCCGAGCCTGCTCGGAATTCCGCGATGGTCGCATAGATATTGTAGCTTAAGCTAGATAAAGCATCAGCGCTAGCTCTGTCCTCGAGATCGAGCAACTTACCAGAACACGAGGATCAAAATCCCATAGATCATCACGGCGAAGGCTATCCGCCTCATGACCTTCTTCTCAGGATCATCTTGGAACAATTTCCAATAAAACAGACCGGGAAGAATAAATGATATTGTGGTTGACCCTGTCGATCCGACGAAGGATAGTACTGCAAGGCGAATATGAGCGTCGCCATCTAAGAAGCGGAAAAAGAGAAACTGACCGATCCGAAGATCACTGACGAAGAACGCGACCAAGAATCCCAGAGCAACGATCCCTGCCGTGAGTATGAAATGCTTCTCAGCGCTCATATGACCCACGGCATGCGGGTCGGTATCTTCTTCTGCTTCCTCTGCTTCGGGGGCGACAACGGTCGATGTCTCGCTCTCGCTCGGAGGAGTGGCTATCTTGGTGACAGTCGGTTTGGGTGGATGATATGTGACCACTTTATCCAGCGAATTCCGACACGGCAAGACTTGAAGAGGATAGGAAAACAAGACCAGGATGACGATTGCCAATTGTCCGATAGCGATAAAGAGACTGGTTGATGGATACATTTGGATGATGTTCGCTCGAACCTGTGCCGCCGATTACCCAACGCTGATGTACCATCAGGAAGAACATACTTTGTCTCCGAAGGTCAGATATCCAAGAATAGCGATAACTTCGTATGTTGCTGTTGCACTGCCGATAGCGGTCCCGATGATGGTGTTCATTCTCTTCCGCGAGTTGTCCCTTAGTTCATTGTATATGGGCAGTATCTATAGTACTTTCAGTTTCGTCATCACG